AGCAGTATACTCTTACTACGTAGTAAGAGATTGTTTTTGATGATATTACTTAACATTTATGTAATAATAGCACCGATCAAATTAAAATTACAAATTGTAGCTTCGTAAAAATTCTCGTATTCTCTGTTTATTCTGTTTTAATCTCTATAAAAACATAGATTCTCAGATCATTAGAGAAGTGCAATCGTTGTAACGTTGAACTGGTTGGTTCCGTCAATGACTGCATTCAGCAGAAAAAACAGTTTTATCACTGTTGTATGATTCTTCACATGATTGATTTATACCACAGTATAACCAATAGGTGCACTATGCTATTACTCTAAGGATGGTTCCCTATGCAGCGTAATTCGCGTAAGCATAAACTGGGTCAACCAATCAAATCGTCTAATAAGAGTCTAGACTTGTGGATTTGTGTAGAGTAGCTGAGACAATTTGGTTGGATGACGCAGTTTACGCTTACGCAAGTTACGCTACATGGGGAATCAATCTAAAGCCTAGTCTACATGACATAACATATACAGCACAGTTATACGTGATGTAAGGTTATTAAGCATAAGAAATGAAAATAATTCATTTAAGTAGGTTCTTACAATCACACCTTACAGCCTTACAGCCTTATGTTATGTCATTGTAGATTAGGCTTTAAGTTTTTTATATGCTATGGCACTTAGAGGCTCTAGTCTACAATGTGGTCGTAATGTTGTCACGATACTACGATCGATCAATCAGAGATTATCATCTAATTAGAAATATTAGAAATAGGAATAAATATTAAAGTTTAGAAATAAAATTTAATATTTATTCCTATTTCCAACCAATCAAATTCATCTAACCAAATAAAAATTCAGAATAAAAATTATATTGCGCATTATATTTAATTCTTATTCTGAATTTTTATTCTATTTCTAATATTTGCTCTATTGTGTGCAGGCCCTAAAGCTAACACAATCTATTTTGAAACAGTTTGATGTAAAAATATCCTTCTAAAGCTTGAGACACAATGAAAAAGTACAGGAAACAGGAACAGGGAATAGCAACAGTCAACAGATTTCGACCAATCAAAAGCTGTGAAAGAATATCGGAATATTTCTGATTGGTCAAAATCTATTGCTACTCCCTGTTCCTATTGCCTGTGTTTTTACATTGTGCAATAAGCTTTAGGCTGTCGAATGGATAGGATGTCTTTTATACTCACATAAATTTTGAAGTAGAAACAATGGATTTGCTCTACGTTGTTAATAGAAGAAGTTCTTCCAAATTTTTTCTAATCAAGATTGGTATGTTTTTATAAAATATTTCTACAAAGCAATTTTCGTGTAACATTTAATATTTTAAGATATAAGCTAGATGAATAAAACATACATATGTAAAAATGTATAAGTTTATCAATAAAATATAATAAAGTTGTTGATATAGTTAAAGAATAAGTGTTAAGTTTCATTTACTTATATCAGACTGATAAAAAATCTGTTTAATGAAAACTAAAGCTAAAACTGTTATTGTAAAATGTTAAGTAAATAATGTATTAAGATTTAAAAAACATTTTGAATTAGAAACTTTATATATGTTTAATTTTAATATAGTAATATTTTACATATCATTCAAGAAAGTTGCTTGTTACAATCTAAAATGATTTATAATTTATATCAAAATTTATGATTAAATACCATATTTGTAGTATTATACTTTGCAATACTAAATTTTACAATTTAAACACTTGTGTGTGTATGTTTGTGTGTGTGTGTGTGTATATAAAATAGGTAAAAAATTTATATGTACAAAAATAACTTATATATATATATATATATATATATATATATATATATAGAATAATAAATAGAACTTTGACCTGAAATCTGATATAAATAGATTTGATATTTAAAATAATGCAATGGTTGCTTCTTTGTTAGCATATAACAATTTTAATGTTCCAATTTTATTTCCTATAATCATCAAATAAATATATTTTTGTCATAGTCTGAGATAAGCAGATTAAATGTATTGTTTATTCATATACTTCATATCTTTTCAATTATTATTGAATTATTCTTCTTCTGCAAAGTAATAAAATATTTGGATATCTGTTTTTTCAGTTTATATAGTGGACAATCATTATGTTCTTTATCTAGTCGAAATATAGTGACATTCACTACAATGACAGAGTTGGATGATAATAACGGCAAAACACGGGGATGTCATGTTTATGTAGCTGATCTGAATATGCCATGGCATGCTCATAAGTTAGTATTCTGATTAATATCCATCTCTATTAATATAGATTGTATTGTTGGTTTAGTTTATTCTTTACTCTTTTTCTAATTTTTAGAATTAGAAAAAAAAGAAAAGTTAAATTGGGATTAAAGTTAATCTATATATATCTTGATAAAAATGAGTAATCTTGTAAATTATTGTTTTTATAATATCCTTTGAGAAATATTGTTATATATATGTTTATATCTCCTATTTATCCAATGATATTTCTATCTAATCTTTTTGAATCTTTGAGAAAATTGAGAAGTTTTAAATCATGACTCTTATTTTTCTAGAGTACTTTCTAATAAGCATAATATTACTGCATTGGAGTGGGATCTGCCAGGTGACAAATTGGTAATAGCGGATGTAGCTGGAAATGTACAGTTATGGATGTTCAAAGACCATATTTTGAATGATTGGGTGTTAATAGGTTCTGTATACTTCCCTGGTGAGCACATATTAGGTGCGGCATGGTTTCACAATGGTAAAAAGGTATCCAGACAAGTAAATTGATATATTGGACAACAAAAAAGTTTTCTGTTAATATCAAAATGGAGATTGCAAACCGTTAATATTATTATTTTATTATAATGTTTTAAAAAAATAAAATATTGTAACAAAATAACGTTTTAAAACAGATATTCAACTTATGCTTATATATAATATATATTTTATACAAAATTAGTAGTTAAAAGTTAAGCAGTAAAAAATTAATAACTTTAAATTTTAATTATTTTAATTAGTTATTTTTAAAGCATGTTAACTTGAACTTTCTAATTTTTAAATTGAATTTTAAATTAAAATTTTTTTCTCTATCAAGATTCTTTACGTTCTGTATTGCAACTGTTTAAAATAATTGAATGTTAAAAGATTATAATATCTTAATTTAAAATAAATAATATAATTTAATAACATAAATTATATAATTTAAAATAAATAATGTGCTTTTTAAAATTACCTTTTAATTTAATTTAATTCAATTTTAACATAACTTTTAATTAAATAATTTTTTATTTATGCAATTTTTAAAATAATTGAATTAATTTTATAAGCTATTAACTTTAATTTAGTTAAAAATAATTTTTTGAATCATATACGCATGCGCGCGCGCGCGCACGCGTGTGTATATATATTGAATGGGGATTGAAAAGAAATATGTTATTTTTTTCTTTTCTCCTATTGTCTTCCGATTCTGTAGACTGGACTAGTAACGGAAAAGAAAGATAGCATTCATTATACTGAAAAATTTAATCATTTATCATTCGCACCTTCTGTGAGGCAATTCGGTGGCAGAGCTGCTGAAGGTGTGTTAGTGGTCTCAACAACTGGTATGGTCGGTGCAATCATGATTACAAAGGATCTTCAAAATCCGATTTGTTATTCGTCGGAAAGTCTCGGTAACACGAGGCATAGAATAACTGCAGTTGATTTGTGCTATGGAAAAAGTACTTATTGCCTTGTATAAACAGATTTACTAATATAGAAGATGTAACAATGAATATGTTTTGATAATTATTTTCGTGTATTTCAGATGGTCATTTTCTCGTTGCAGTTAGTAGCGGCAGCATCTGTTTGCCTATAAGATGTTTTAGAGTATTAGTGCGCAAGAATGATGATAAATGCACTATTACTTCGCAAGCTTTACCAAGTTTTTTCCTGCAGGATGGAGCACCTAAGGATAATTCATGTAAAATTAATTTAATTTGTTGATTGTTACTCTTAGATAATATATACAATATTCTTTAGATAATTTATTTATTCATAATTATAATCCTTTATCTTTGCAGGTATAGTGACGCATTTAAAGTTCGTGGTGAGAGAAGATGCTGATTCTCTAGTTATTGCGGCTAACAGCGAAAATGGTGGATTTATTGAGGTATGGGAGTTGCGAGAAAAGTCGCAACCGGTTCACAAATTGTTCCAACCAAAAAGTTTAGAACCTTTCAAGACAGTTGTAAGTATTCAATTAATATTTTTATTCTTCGTATGCAAATGTATACAGGTGTCTGATTCATAATTGTTTTCTTTATTTATTTTTTATTTTTATTAATAAGAGTATACATGAAATATAAATCCTGCTTCAAATCTCGCTTCATATAAATCCTAATATCTTCGAACAAATCATGAATTTAAAACTATTTTTGGCTTCTAGATGTATGTAATTCTAAATACCTTAAATGTCGCTACTTCGTTACTTTACATCTGTTACTTAGCTACATACAGGGTGTCCGATTCATGATTATATACTGCTTGTGTGCAGGTAGAGCAAATCAGATTGAGTAGAAAAGTCATCTATTTTACAATTTTTGTAATTAGTAATGAGTTATTAATTATTAAAAACTATATGTACTAAGTAGCAGATATAAAATAATTAAGAAATTGGCAACATTTGAGTATTTAAAGATTATATGCATCTAGAGACCGAAAATAACTTTAATTTATGATTTTTTTCTCCAAAGATATTAGAATTTGTATGAAGCGAGATTTATAATATTTTATATAAACTTTTATTAATAAAAATAAAAAATAAATAAATAAAATTATCAATCTGTCTTTGTAACAATACAAAAAATCTGTGTGGAAAAAAAAAGGTTGTAAAATATTGAAGCGAAATATGCAATCTTCAGATTTCTAGCGCAGCACTTAATACATTGTGCCATGCCGATGCTTGACGAAAGTTTTATTGCAGTAATACTAATGGAGCATGCTAAAATTGAAGTCGCAATTTTTTATCAATAGTTGAGAGGTGCATCGTCTCTATATACGATATACGAATAATACTTGTTACTTCTATACTAATACTACATTTTAGCAAAAGTTTGATAAAATCGAAGTTTCCCTTATAAGAAAATATTCTTAAGACTATGATACTAAGAAAGCAAAAAAAAAATAAAAAAATTGATTTTTTTTATCTATCTATGTGTATGATTGATCTATCTACTTATGTAACCTCTTAAATAATTTATATTTAGACACAACATTTATAAAAATAATGTAAATAATATATTTAAATAATATTTAATCGAGATCTGACTGTTGTTTTATTTTCGGCACACAGGTTTGGCAGTATCAATCGCAGTATCGCTGTCAATCGCCGGTTACGGCAATAGCGACTACAAAACTATCTATCGTGACAACTTTACCACCTCCAAGTTATGTAATAATAGCATTAGCAGATTCGTCGGTACATTGCTTAAATCGTTTGGATTGTTTAAAAGAAGTGGCATTCTCGTCTTTGAATGCAAATTGGCGTCTAGATGAGCCCAGCAATAAATATTTTAAGAACTTTATATCTATTGCCCATATGGATCTTTCATGGTTGGGATGCGTGCTTCTTGCTTGTGATACACACGGCAATCTATATCTATATAAACTGTTGCCGGATGGTACCACAGGTGTGTACGATCGCATTCAGGAAATACAACAGAGTAACTCAACATAAGTGATCTAAATTCAGAGATCTAATAAAGACCAATGATCATTAATAGAGTTTTCACTGATTGCTTTGTTTCGCTGAATGCATTCTTTGCGCATGCACGCGTACGTGCACGTGTGTCATGAAATTTTTTTATTTATATTTAATTGATTAATTAATTAGTATCCATTCTTCTAATCGTAAGAAAGAATCCATTCTTCTATTCTTGAAAGATTATAAAATATGATAAAAGCGTTGGTATTGTATATTTGAAACAATTTATGTGATTCCATAGGTACATCAATGTCACTGACTTATGCTTGTACATTATTAGAATATTGTTTGGTGACAGGATTGGATTGGTTGGATATACTTTTATGCTTGAGATCGTCTATGATCGAAGCACTATGTGAGCGGTTAGACATCTCTTTTAACAGACAGCTGCAATCTACGCAGCAGTATCATTATATCCAATTTTTATGCATTAAGACATCATTATATAGGTATGTATCTGTATATGCATAGATGTAAATGCATGTACACAAAAAAGTAAGTTTGTAAATTAAATATATTTTCCTTTAAATTAATTTCTAAATTTATATTAAAAATAAAATATGTCAAGATTTGACATAACACTTAAGGCTCTTGACTAATCATCGCAGCCATATTGGAATCGTCATAAGTAAGAAATGATACAATGAAATTTATTGCATCTAACTTGCAAATAAAGAGATATTCAAACTAAAATGACACTTGAGATGGTTTTAAGATACTGTGAAAATGAACGACTACTATTCTTTTCCTTTCTGATAGTCAATAAATAATCATAAAAGGCACGTGAAATGATGTTTCTCATAAAATCTATTCTAAAATAAATTCTAATAAAAATACACGGTTTGACAGTTATTGAAAGAAGTGAAAAAATATGCTTTTACATTCAAAATTTAAAGTTTTAAAGTTTTAAGTTTAGTTGTTATTTTTACGAGTTTGATAAGTATGAGACAAGTCACATCTGCATGATTAAACATATAATAATGAAATTAGATGCAATAAAAGTTTTGTTAGCGCAACATTTAATCTAGAGATGAACAAGGACAAAGTTAAGATGAACAAGGATGAATAAGTTTTTAATTTTTATCGCGATGCCATCGTCAACATGGAACTCTTAGCTGAGTAGTCAAGATCCTTAAAAACTGCTTTTGAAAATCTCTAATTTTTGAAGTAATATGAAGAAGATTATTTCAAATTATTTCAAATCTCTAAAATATTAAATATGTGTTAATCAATATTTTCAGGATGCTCATGACAGGACAGAATAAGGCGGCGGATTTGTCGTCATTATTGATGATACATTCAGTAGCTACTGCCTTCAAATCTTTATTGAGACCATCGGATCTGATATCTTACGATAAGGGCCCAGCAGAGACCTTAGCCGCGGTCATAACCGATGTTATTACCGATGTTGACAAAGTATTATAATCAAATTTTTATGTCTTTTTTAAACGCCCTAATTTTGAATCAATTAAATCAGCGAAATTCTTTCTTTCTTGTTCTATTCTTTTATTCTGAAATTATAAATATGCATTGATATAAGTGTGTGCGCGGTATTTTTATTCTACACACACACACACACACACACACACACACACACACACACACACACACACACACACACACACACAC